AAAATAGTTTTAAAAATCACAAGCTTTGGAACCAAGTAATATTCACTTTTTAAAAAAAGATTTCATTTATTTATTTGACAGAGAGACAATGAGAGAGATAACACAAACAGGGGGAGTGGGAGAGGGAGAAGCAGGCTTCCCGTGGAGCAGGGAGCCCGATGCAGGGCTTGATCCCAGGACCCTGGTATCATGACCTGAGCTGAAGGCAGATGCTTAACGACTGAGCCACCAAGGCGCCCAGTTCACTTCCTTTTTTTAAAAAAATAATATTCACTTTATAACCCTTGGATTCCAAAGAAAATCAAGGGAAGTTATAATGTACTCAGATTGTGGGTAGATCTTAACATAGTGTTGAATGAAAAAAGTAATAAGTACAATGAAGACCTTAGCAGTGTTTCTCAAAGTATATGTGGTAAAGAACCAGTTTTGTTAAATTTCTAAACAATTAAAGACCTATAAATCATAAAATGAAATAAAAATAATTACTAGAAAAGTAAAATTTTAAAAAGTAAGGATGAATCAAATGTAGGCCCTAATATTTATTATTCGATTCCAAAGACATAAAATTACATTTCAGTGAATATAATTTGAGCAAAGATAATATAGGAAAAAATGTTTCTACATGCTAATCCTCAATTTTTCTACCTATCTTAACACAGACCAGTAACAAAGAATTTAGGAACCAGCCAGATAACACTGATTTATAACACAATGCCTTTTATATAACTTAAAAATACATAACAAAACAGATCAATTCATGATTTATAAGAATGCATACAAATAAACACATCAAATCTATTGGCATGATTGTTTATTAAGGAGATAGAAGGAAGAAAAAGAAGTTTGAATAAAAGAGAATCAATCAATCAAGAGAGAGACCCAGCACAGGTGGATGAAAATGGTGTTACCAGGTTTTCCATTAACTCAACCTCTGTCTCTGAGGGACACACACACACACACACAGATATATAAAACAGTCTTTTCCTTATTCTTGGTCTCTTTATCAACAACTTATTATTATCCATCTACTTTATCTCCTCTTACTATCTTTAACTCTTTCCCTGCACTCTTTTAGAGCTACATCAAAATGATAAGAAATCATCAGGGAGGGGTGCCTGGGGGGCCAGTTGGTGGTTAAATATCTGCCTTTGGCTCAGGTCAAGATCCCAGGATCCTAGTATGGAGCCCTGTGTTGGGGTGGGGGGGGTGTCCCTGCTTAGCGGGGAGACTGCTTCTCCATCTCCCTCTTCCCCTCCTCCCCACTTGTGCTGTCTCTCTCTTTCTCTCTCTCTCTCTCTCTCTCTCTCTCCTTCTCTCTCTCAAATAAATAAGATCTTTAAAAAGAAAAGAAAAGAAATCATCAGGGAGATATATTTTCTCCAGGGTTAAGTGTGTGCTTTGTTTTTCACTCTTATCAACTGAATAAACCAAAGATATCTATCATGAATACCTTGGCTAGTTTATACTGGATAGAGTACGTCAAGAATTTTTAGCTCTTGTAATGTTCTCAACTGTGTTGTCTATACTTATATTCTCCATTTCTCACTCATTGCAACCCACCCACAAATCTGAAACATAATCTTTATAACTACTAACCATAAAGGGAGTTGGGAAAAAAAGCTACAGCCCTTCAGGGGTATATTTTAAAATCTTGATATTTGTTCAGTAGATGATTACTCCAGCCTGTTGATTAAAGAACTCTGCCTTGTAGTTGCATGACCTGAAGTCATGGCATCAGTTGCCCCGTACAAGGATCCTCCTCTTTGGAAGCTTCCCTTGGTAGGTTTTTCAAACTGTGGGACCATGCCCATCTGCTTTGCACTTAGCCTTCCTATTTCGCAGTGACCTTAGTTCTTTATATCTGGGAAAGGGTTGAGTAAGTTATCTATGGTTTGAGCTGTGAAGAAAAATAATCTGTCTCTATGAAGACTCAAACTCTTTGTTTCACTTAAAAGTAGATTTTTAAAAGTTTATCAAGATGATCTTTTCTATTTGTATTTTATTTGTGGAGACATGATCCAACTAGGTCTAGAAGTATTTCTCATGCTTTATTTCTTAAACTGTAGCCCTTTGATATTTACCACTGAATATTAGTAACTGAACAAATAGAATTGTGTAGTTCATCTGTTTTTCTCTCATTGGGTTTTAAAATTAACTTCAAATGTAATATAGCATTATAGCAAATAAAACAATACAGAGGTATATAAAGAGAAAGTTAGAAGCTCCTCTCTACCAGTCAGGCCCCCTCCAGCAATCAACGCTGGATTATCCAACATGCAGACCAAATACGTATTCAGGACACTTATAAAAACAGGGAGCTCCAAAATGTTTTTGAAAAAATGTTATAATTGATATTTTAGAAGAAGCACCGGACTAGTGATCATGAGAAAAATCAGAAATTTTTGGATTTCTTTATATTTATTTTGTGGTTTAGTATTAAATTTTACATTAGATGTATTGGGGAGAACAAATGTGTACAAAGAATGTATACATGTCAAGATTGCATTTAGTTCAAAATGTATATGCATACATAATATTTTTACATAATTATCATTGTAGAATTGTTTTTCATCTTAAAATTTCACTTAAGATTTTGTAAATGTTTCCATGTTCATATAGAGATATTATACTCATTAGGTAATCACTGCATCTATTCCACTGTACTAATAAATCATCTTGTTTGTCCATTCTTCCACTGTTAAATATTTTCTAAATTTTTCACTTACTAGACATATGGCTATAATATATTTCTGTACATAGCTGTTTTCTTTTTCAAAAATAATTTTCTTGGAATAAATCACTGAAGTGATATTATCACAACAAAACTTTAAGAATATTGGGCGCCTGGGTGGCTCAGTTGGTTGAGCGACTGCCTTCGGCTCAGGTCATGATCCTGGAGTCCCTGGATCGAGTCCCGCATCGGGCTCCCTGCTCGGCAGGGAGTCTGCTTCGCCCTCTGACCCTCCCCCCTCTCATGTGTTCTTTCTCTCTCATTCTCTCTCTCTCTCAAATAAATAAATAAAATCTTAAAAAAAAAAAAACTTTAAGAATATTAATACAACTCTTCTTACCTATGACCAAATTGCTCACCCAGAGGATTTTATAAGTTCACAAAGGGTAGACTATATGCATTCTGAGTTTAAAAGTAGTTTGAAGCATGACAAGGTGGGAGCAGGCAAGGTTGAAGGCGACACGGAAGACAGGAAGGAGATGATTGCCATTATCCTGACAGGAGATGCTGTATATCCCAACAAAAATGGTGGCAGTGGATATAGAGAAGGAGAAGAATATAACAAATATTTAGCAGCAGGGCTTGGCAGGCTTGACGATAAGGGGAAGGAAGGCTAAGGAAGACTGGAAGATGAGCCGTTGGGTTGTTTGATGGACTAGAACAGGTTTGAGAGGAAGGAGGATACTGCTCTGTGAACTATCCCCACAGTCCAGCACAGTGGCTAGTACAATGAAGGCTTTCAGTAAGTGTTAGTTGAATGAACGCTTCACGCATACATAAATGAATGAGTACTACAAACAGTAAATCAATGTTCTTATCCCAGACCCTCACAGGTATTTGGTTGTATATCTAGAAGTTGATTTAATGCTTTTAACTCCTCATTAGGGTATTTTAAAATCAGGACTCATGACAACAAGGAAGTGAGAAAATTAGGGAAAAAATTGTGGAAAGGAAGACAATCCAAAGCCAAAGCTGAGGGCTATAAAACCGATCCTCCACTCATGAAATCAGCCAATTACTTTACAGTCAACTTTATGCCAACTTACATAGACTTTGCTATTCCTTACAGAAAGTTGCCAATTCCTATCTCTGGCTGCTAAAATCTCAATATCCCTGGATTCAGAATGAAGTTATGGTTCCATTCCAATCACCTCATCAGTTACCAGTGAGAGAGAGAGCAGATTGTTGCCTAAGGCTCGCTGTTCTGAATTGCATACAGTCCTCCCAAGGTGCCCACATCTGGCTACAGAGGTCTGGAGCTAAAAGGTTTTTCTGAGAGAATCCCCAAACAACCCTATAGGTCCAGTTGTATTTTGGGTACCATGAACCTTGGTTATGTGATTGTGACTTGTGTTTATGTTCTTATACCAAATTTTGTCTCTTAGGCCTAAACTGTATTCTCGGGTATTTGTCTTATATCCCCTGGAGGACAAAAGCTGTGATTTCCATTTTCTTTATGACTCCCTCAGAGTCAAGTATAAAGTTCAGTATAAACTAAGAACTCAGCAACTACTAACGATTGCCCACTTGGAATTACTGAATTGAAGGAAAATGATGGTTTTTAATGATCAATAAAAGGTACCATGTATCTAGTTTTAGGAAACAAAATGTTTATTGAAATGGCACGTAGATAAATTATCACGAGCATAAAACTGTTAGTGGAGTTCCCAACATGGGTTCTTTTTACTCTTAAAATGAAGTGAGGCTTTGTAAGTCCATTGTCCCAAAGGAAAAATATTATATTTCTCTGTTCAGATAAAGTCCTTTAAAAAAAAGCAGATCACTTTTGAAATGGTCTTTTAAATGTCTCCAGCCTATGACCAAAACAAAAATAAAAAGATATAATTCTCTCCATTTAAAAAGAAGAATGAAAGATGAATGACATGGAAAAAATACTTAGGCATTTGAAATGCGGGAATTTACTCTGAGTTTATTAAACTAAAACATTTAAGAAATAATATAAACAAGTCAGCAAGACAAAATTACATGTTATCATTAAAATGCAAAATATGGCAACACTTTTATTATTATATATTTAAGAAATAAGCTAAAATGTTCTTTTCTTAAATAAACAAATTTTAAAAAACTCTGAGTTCAGTAATTTGGAATATAATCCAAAGTGAGTTTTAGTTTCCATATAAGACTAAATACTCTTAGTAAAAGACTTAAAATTAATAAATATAATAAGAGAAAATGAAACTTTCAGAAAAATGACTGAAACTTTGTGGACTAACAGAAATTAACAGTTTAATTCTCAGGGTAAAATGACTTAGTCGTATTCTATTTCAACATGGTGTTCTGGTCCAACCTGTTTGGCTCCCCCAAGGTGGTGCTGCTGTCCTTCTCCAATGGCTAATCTGTTGAATGGGATTATCTTCATGGTAGTTTTCTTCATGGAATACCACCGGGATTGCCAAGTGGCCCAAATAATGCCATTATCATAACCATTAGGAGTAGATGTTTTTGAGTAAGTGCCACCTAAAACAAATTTTAGATGTATGTATAATTGCTCTTGAATTTCCTTACCTCAGGAAGTCTGTAAAGAATGGCCTGTTTGTTACAAAATACATTGTCACTTACATCAAATTTATCATTACCTACTATCTGAAAAATCCCTAAAGATTCCTAAAATCCTGATTTACAATTGAAGTACATTTATTATGAACCAACCTCTTATGTCTGTATTATACTTCTTGATCACATCCATACTTAAATGTGTTCCCTACTAACAGGGCTAGAACTCCAGATTTCCCCAATCAGTCTCTCTTCCTGAGCTTAGTCATCCTGGAATCAGCTATTATGGACCATCTGTCCACAAGCAAGTTAGAATGGCCGGAGTAACAATTCCTGATCATATGACCTCAGGTCACCTAAAAACACAATTTCACTGAAAAATATAGGACTTTAGAAAACAGTTCTGGAAAGTTATTTTACATTTACATTATATACTGAAGACTACATTGATTTGCCTTCTCCTTGTTCTTGGACACCAGATCTTATGTAATTTTGTAAAGGATTGTCTAAGTCCAATACTGGAGTGTACCATAGGCTATCAACATGGCTATTCTGAGTCGTGGTTTGTAGGTGCAAAGATATTTTAGGTTTCTTAAAAAAAAAAAAGAACGTTGTGAAAACCAAAAGGTAAATTTAAATAGCTTTTAAGAGGATTAGAATCATCTATTGGCTAGCACAGTACCCTGAAGAGGTAAAATTGCTTATCTTAATGGATCTTTCAGAATCAGTAGAGATTCCCCAACACATACTTGTTGGGTAGTAATAATCGTTTGTCAGTAAGTTTAGTGTTTAGAAGTATTCCTGCCTTAGAGCAAACTACAGCTTGCTACCCCCCTCTCTAAAATAAGTGCCTACACTTTTCAGGCTGGACTCCTTTTCTCTCAAGCTTTTTTTTTTTTTTTTTTTTTTTTACCATTACTTCCCTGCTCTTAACTCTGTTCCTTCACACTGGTTATATCTGTCACATAGCTCATGGGAAGCTGCACAAGACTCATGTGTTAACAAGCATAAATATGATAGTGTTAGTCCATCCAGATCACACATAAGTGTAGAAGTCTAGAAGAGATACCATAACCGTAAGTGGTGGATTTCTTACAGAGGGGCCAATTTATGTCTAAGTTTAGTATCCAATTCCGGTTTAAAATGAAGAACTATATAATAAGCCCCCAATCTCTGTACTAATTATTTCTCATTTTCTTATATTATTTTTTACCTTTCATAAAAATATAAACTATACACTCGTTCGTGTATGTAAGGAAGAGAGCCATACCTTGGTAATAAATTCCATTGAGGTGGCCTGCGTGACACTTGTTCATCCACCAACCAGACCCATCCTGTTCGGCACAGTTTCCTTCGTACTTATCATTGTCGTTGTCCCAGGTACTGAACTGCATGCCATTGTGGGATGTGAAAAATTTGTCACTAGGGTCATCGCCAAAATCATAGCCATCAAAGGCATCTCCAGCATCTCCACCAATAAAGTAGGCATACGTCAGGCGGTATTTGTCAGCTTCAGGTCCCACCTTGAACATGGCATAGTCTGCAGTACTATAAAGAAGGGAATAGAGACATCATATCTTGGCCCCCATTAGGGATCTCAGAAGTTCCCTTTTCCACAGGAAAATTGTTTGGAATTTTTAACTTTGCTTCTTAAGTCTGAAATGTGCTCATTGAATCAAATTTCCTGCAAATCTGGCAAGAGGCGATGGATGTGTGAACCAGTTCAGAACTCATCAACACCACCCAGAATCAGTCTAGAAGCCTTCAGGGCATCCCAATGAAAACTAAAAACATCAGCCATTTTAATGCTTTTTGCCTGTAGAATCCTAATATCAAATCCAGGTGTGTGGATGAATCTGACTAATTTCGTATTTTCCACCTTTAAGTAAGTGTTTAGCATTGCACACAGAGTTATCATAAACCACAGCAAATGACACTGAGTGATCATTAATTAATGCACCAAACTTGAAGGAACTCAGCTCTATTAGCCACTCGTGGCATCTTGAAGGATGAGGTCCGAAAGGGATTTTTCTTTCCCAAAGCAGCATGATAGTGACAAGAAGGAGGGCTTCCTAGAGCATCACATAAAAGAAATGGTCCCTGTGTGGCCCACAAAATATAAGCTGTCATTATATTTGAGAGATTCTTCCCTAGGAAAAAGCTGTGAATAAGGGCCAGAGAGCGATTCTTTCCTGGGAAAAAGTTGTGAATAAGGGCCAGAATTCTATGGAGTGCAGGAAAGAATGGGCTTTGGTGTATGAATAGAAATTTTCAGAAAATATTTAGCCTCTTCCTTAATCTCCAGTACTTGGAAATTGGGAGGTGTTCTCAGAGGAGAAGGTCTACTGACTATGGTACTTTCTGATTAAAAATACATGTTTGGAGACAATATATTTCATTATTTCATAAACATAACAAAATGATTAGATGTTTTTCTGAATTTTAACTAGGAATGCTACACTCAAACCTCCCAGGTAACTGTGAGCATAGAGGGGACTTTATCTCACCAAAGGAGCTAGCTGATTTAATTTTAGGGTAGCTCATGGATTGACTGAATGAATTGTCATTAAAGCACCAGGGAATTTGAAAAGTCTGGATTCACTTTTCAACCAGAACAGTCATTAAGAGGACAGGCTGTAGGGTCAAACTACCTGAGTTCAAATCCAAGTTTTACTGTTTACCAGCAACATGACCTTAGGAAAGTTAATCTCTAAAATGAGATTAATAATAGTATCTTCCTCATGAAATAATTAATTGGATTAGATTAAGTTTTAATTTCATGCTCATTGTCTGGTACAAATTAAGTGCTCAGTAAATATTAGCTATTAGTCTATATGTTTCCAGGGTAAGCAGATTACACCAAAACATTCTCCATCCTGGATGGGACCTATCTCTTTGAACTGCCCAAGAACCAAACCAACTCCTGGGGAAAATAGTTGGATGTGCCTTTTGCATTTGTCAGGCTGTCTTTGCTATTGGCCTATTGATAATTTGAAAGTGCACATTCCAGACAGTGTCTACAACAAAAAAAGCAGAAGTCCTTTCTAAAGAGTACCTGGTTCTGCCATTCCAGTCCTCCAACTGTATTCTTAATGCGTACGGTATGGCCGACTGTGTGCTGATCAAATGAATCTTCTCATTTCCCAGCCAAAATTCTGTGTTTCCAGTAGGAGACAGATGTCCAAATCCTTCTTTATATTGAATCCAATTTTTCTTGAAATTCAAACTGCCATCAAGCCTCTAAGTACACAATCGTATGGACAAAAGGAGTGGATTATCAGTGCACATAAAGAATATGCTATAAATATCTTGTTGAAAATCTGGACAGTATGATTCCACCACTTACTAAGTGAACTTGGGCAAGCTGCCTTAGTTTCCTCATCAGTAAAATTGGAATAATGATGCCTATTTCTTAGGGTTGTTGCAGGATTACACCAGAGAATTAAGAGAAGTACTGAAAAGAGTGTCTGGTACATAGCAAATTCTAAATCAGTGGTAGTTTTAAAAAGGCACGTAGAGGACTTCAGAACCCCAACTTGATATTGCTGATTTTTATACTGATGGTGGAAAGGTTAACTCATTGCTCAATCTGTGTATGCCAAACAGCACTTCCAGCACTCACTCTCTCTGAGCGCCCCCTGCAGGATTAGTTGAAACAGTGATCAAAGATCAACAGATGGTTAAAAGATCTGCAATGGGTCTCTGGCTCTGGCAGAGGCAACAGAGGGCCCTTGTCTTGGAATAGCCCAACTGTATCCTCTGGGGGACTTTGTCTTTTCATGATGGGCAGCCTTAGATCTTGATCTACCGGATGCAAGAGGTCCGTTTTAGTTCTTTGCCATTCCGAGACTGTGATTACATGCTCTCATGAATCTAGAACATCAGTGCCAACATAGTGTAGAGTCAATAGCACAGATTGGAACAAGACTGCCTGGGTTCCAATCTGGACTCTGTTACTTATTATGTGACCTTGGGCAAGTTGCTGAACCTCTTGTGTCTAAATTTCCTCCTCTATAGAGGTAATGATTGTACCTCATAGGAAAATTGGGGAATTGTGAGGACTAATTGAGTTCATGTTCACAAAGTGCTTGCAAAAGTTTCTGGCATAGGGCGGAAGTTGATCTGGTGTTTATTACATACACATGGGGAGGGGAAATACCTTCTGCAGCACTGTCCATCCATTTCCAGATCCATCAATTTCACAGTAGACCAGGAACTGCTGCTTAGCTTTCAGAGGTTCGATAAAGTAAAGCCCACTCTCCTTGGCCCCCTTATTGGCAATGTCTTGACAATCTGAAGGAAGCAGAGAAGGAGGAAAAGAAGGAGAATAGTTTTACTGTGGTTTGAAATTCATGTAAGACTGTACCAGCCTTCATAATGAGCTTTTCACAGTGTTGCAAACTATTCACATCCCAAGAAGCATTTTCTTACTTCTCGCATCATCATTCCTTTCAAACTAGTTTTAGCTACTCAAGAAAAGTCTAAGCAATTGAACACTTTAGATTTAATTGCTAAACATTTCCAAATTATTCCTATACATTCCTAAACATTCTCCTTTGCTTTATATATTTGCTGTGATAAGAATCATTCCAATATAAGCCTTTCACTTACCTTTCCCAGTTATATCATGTATTTGTACTGTGTCTCTGCAAGGTTCCTGACACTTTGCTTCAAGCTGGGCTACCTTCTGTTTCAGGTTATTGATCTTTTGGTTATTTGAGTTATATATTTCCTGTAAAAATCTACAAGCAGAAGAATAAGTTAACGGAGTATTCCTTTCAGATGAGTAATTCTGTATTTTCTTTACAAAATATGTTCTCAAGAAGTAATTGCTGATAAATTACTTCATCCTTGGAAAAGTCATAAAATTATGTTACTGAATTGAGATGAGTTAAAGTTCTAAGCTTTTTGGGAAGGAAAATAACAGAGTCCTGGTCAATAAACGATGGCATCTTAAGCAGTCATCCCAACTTTTTTTTTAAGTAGGCTCCACGCCCAGCATGGAGCCCAACGTGGGGTTTGAAACTCAAGACCCTGAGATCAAGACTTGAACAGAGATCAAGAGTGGGCTGCTTAACCAACTGAGCCACTCAGGTGCCAGGGTCAACCAGATTTTTAACATTCTGCATAAAGGGCAGCAGATAACAACCTACGGAGTGAGGAACCTGGTTAATAGGAAGACCACCTGATGTTTCTTAGGACAGAATATTCACAGGGAAAGAAAGACTCTGCTCAGTAATTCACATGGGCCAAAGCTATTCCTTTCACTGTAGATCTCCTAAGGATCTATTTATGGACTTCAGTCTGTGACTTACATGGGAAACGAATCTGGGGCATTATTTTACATAAAATAAAACAACAGACACTTTGTCTTTCTTTTTAATGTTTCCATTTACATAGCTTTGGAAAGAGTCTGAGGGAAGTAAAAATCTGTTTTTGTAGTTTCTCACAGGGTTGCTTGTACATATTCAGAAATGACAGAAAACTATCTACAACGCATGGACCATTTTATCTTTCTTTGAAGTAAAAGAGAATAGAAAAACTATTTGACCACTTTTTTTTCTCTCCTTAGCCTTAGAAAATTTCTGCACAATAGTCTCCTTGAACTTCAGTGATGGGCAATAATAATGCAAATTATAATGTTAATAATAACCCCCAAAATAATAATGGCCTCTGATACCAAACAGAAGATAGATCCCTTCTGGATCACTTCAGCCGCCATTTATCTCAAATTTCTCTTTTTTTTTTTTTAAAGATTTTATTTATTTATCTGAGAGAGAGAGAATGAGAGAGAGCACATGAGAGGGGGAGGGCCAGAGGGAGAAGCAGACTCCCCGCCGAGCAGGGAGCCTGATGCGGGACTCGATCCAGGGACTCCAGGATCATGACCTGAGCCGAAGGCAGTCGCTTAACCAACTGAGCCACCCAGGCGCCCTATCTCAAATTTCTTACACTACTTTGAGAACAACTGCGGGGGAAAAATTTGAGTAAGAAACTAAACTGTCTCTGAGACCCTATCTGTGATTCACAGACCCAAGTCTGTGATTCCCTGGGAAGTTGTCGACAGAGACATTTTACTTTAAAGTGAAGAGAGAATACAAGACTCCAGGTTCAGTGTGGTTCACAATTTTTGTTATGCTTGGCTTCTTAAAAAACGTTTTTTTCTGCTCTGCCTTCAATATAACATACTATTGTAGCCAAGATCCTCCCTCTACCTCTGCTTACTAATTCCCCACCACCAATTTGTTGGCATTTTTATTAAAAGAATTTCATTTTCAACAACCAAGTTCCCATCAGTTTGAATTCATGTTGTAAGTCCAAGATGGGTGAGGGGTGACCACTTTGATAATTCTGGTCAACACAGCATTTGAGAACATCTAGAACACCTTTCTCCCATATGATTATTAAAAAGCAATTCTAACCCCATGAGGTTCATAGTGCACTAAAAACTCCTACCTCCACTGTGTTCAAGGTGGTCAGGCATAATGCCAATTGGATTTTGTAAGTGCGGAAAAATAAAAAGGTTACTTCCACTGAAGCTTGGAATATTGAAAAAAAACTAAGTCCACCTTGGAGAGTAAATGAAAACAAAAATGGTTACCGAATATTCGATTCGTGTGATCCAACCATTGCCTCGTATTTTATAATTTCTTCCATCATTTTCTTGGAATCCTTGGTAGCACTCACGATCCTGCCTGTAATAAGGGATCAGAGACATAAGAAGATGTGAGCAAATGGAGCCACTGAAGCAACAGCAAAGGAACATCACAAAACATGGTCTCAGTCAGCAGTATTTCGTTTCTCACTTGGCTTTGGTGGCTCATTGGGGTTATAGGTGACTTGGAATGATTTGATCACTTCTTTAGCTTCTGCTGTTTTGTTTTCAGTTCGTCTGAAGAGTTCTTCCAAAGACTGCAGATCCTTGTCTACCTCGGTTTGGTAAGTGGACAGGAAGTCTGCAATTCCACAGGTAGTTGGGCAGTAGCTACCCTGAGAATACAATAGAGTGATTAGAAATCTTGATTTAAGAAAAGACTGCATAAAATCTGCTAATAAAAACAGGTAAGACCTAGACGATGTTTAAAAAAAAAAAAGTTATATTATTTATTTATTTTTTAAGATTTTATTTACTTATTTGACAGAAAGAAACAGCGGGACAGGGAACACAGGCAGGGGGCGTGGGAGAGGGAGAAGCAGGCTTCCCGCCGAGCAGGGATCCGGATGCCGGGCTCGATCCCAGGACCCTGGGATCATGACCCGCGCCGAGGGCAGACGCTTAACGACTGAGCCACCCAGGCGCCCCCCCCCCCCCCCCCGCTCCAAAAACCTTAAAATGCCAAATGATTTTTGTGAGAGAATCCCTTCCTTGCTCCGCCCCTCCCCACTTGACACACGGTGAGAAACACGAAAACTACTTACAAATCTTTCATCTAAGATGCAGCAGTTGTCTCTGGTAGCAATGTACTGGAGGAGAAAAACAGAGATGTCACTAGTGTATCATATATTTTCTTGCTTTTCAGCTGTCCGTGTAACACAACGATGCTCTAGGAACAGCATACTTACTGCCAGGCATGTCGAAGGGAGCAGTAAAAAAGTATAGAAGTAGAGAACCAAACCCTGGTGCTTCGAGGACCAAGTCATGGTGCCGGGGCGCCCGGTGCTCCGAGCCCTGTTCTGTCAACACTGTGGCCTCTGGGGCTCCACTTGTCCCTTTATGTAAGCCCCAAGGGTGGCCAGCACGGCCAGTGGCTGGGGTTGATCACGGGGCCTTCTTTCCAGCACGGCGGGGAGGTCTCTCCCAGCCTTTTCCTCATCCTGGCTCCCACCCCATACTCAGTCAGGTTCCCAGCTTTGGCACACGGGTGTAAGCTCCACCTTTTTGGCTCGGCTCAAACTTTCTCCCCCTGAAGTGCACATGCATCTGCAAAGGCTAGTGAAGCATTAGCCCTTGCTGTGCAGAGGGAGGGGGCCGGGAAGCTGCGTGTTGCAACCTCTTCCAGTACGGGGCTGAGAGCAAACACGGAGGGCTGACCTCGACCGGAACAAACCCGCCCCAACCTGAAGATGAAGCCTGGTGCCATAATCCTACTTAGCGCAAGTCCTTTCTTGGCCAAGGGAGGAGGTAACATACCTATTTTTAACCTGGGGCTGTGGCAGGAGGAGCCTTTGCCTGCCTGGTGGAAGCAGCAGGTCCCAATTGGGCAGTATTCCTAGGAATGAATGAATGACCTGGAAATATATTCCTGCCCCTCTGTATTGACCATTTTCTTTGTGGGGTTTTTTTTTTTTAGTTGAGATGTAATTGATTGATAACATTACATTAGTTTCAGGTGTACAACATGCTGATTCCATAGTTGTATATATTGCAAAATTATCACCATCATAAGTCTAGTTAACATTCACACGTGGTTACAAAGTACTTTTTTCCCCCTCCTATCAAGAATTTTCAAGATCTACTCCCTCAGCAACTTTCAAATATGCAGTGCAGTGTCATTAACTATAGTCACCATGTGGTACATTATATCCCCAGGTCGTGTTTTTTTTTTTTTTTTTTTTTTAAGATTTTATTTATTTATTTGACAGAGAGAGACACAGCGAGAGAGGGAACACAAGCAGGGGGAGTGGGAGAGGGAGAAGCAGGCTTCCCACCCAGCAGGGAGCCCGATGTGGGGCTCGATCCCAGGACCCTGGGATCATGACCTGAGCCGAAGGCAGACGCTTAACCAACTGAGCCACCCAGGCGCGCCCCCCTCCCCTCCCCGCCCCAGGTTGTGTTTTATAACCAGAAGTTTGTACCTTTTGACCAGCTTCACCAGTATGTTGACCACTTTCACAGGCTCTCCCATTTGCAGTGAGCATTGAAGCTCCACTCTTCCCTTTGCCTGGAAGAATTAGCTGGTGTGGCACCACATCTACCACAGAGTGGAAACTGGAGCCTACTCTGTTTTCCCTGAGGATCCATCTTGTCACCTCAGAGGAAAACCTGGATATAGGGGCTAGGAAACTCCACATCCCATATATGTGACTAGAAGCATAGCTGGAGGAAAAGGGCAAAATGAGATCTTGAGGAGGGGCTGTCCCTTTTCACTCTGCCCCTAGAGTTTCCTTGTATATTGGGAAAACATGTTTATCTTCATCTCTTATTGATAATTTATAATTTGCATTACCACTATTATTAATACCCCTGTTTTTTATTATCCCTCATTTTGTCCTCTGACACCAAGCTTAGTGCAAATTTTCATTAAATATATTAATGGAAGAAATACATCTAGATTGAAAAAAATACTAACACTTCGTTGTTTAATCCTTACAAAGGAGTATTCATTTTGACTTAAAACAGATAAATGTTCCTACTCGGTAAATAATCCACAATCATCATAACAAAGTGAATATAACAAAATCAAGTGTGTTGCCTTTTCTTTCCCTCTTACTAGCTGTCCTCTCTGACTTACCAGTTATTGCCAAACACATCACCATACCCCCAACCCATCTTCTTCACCCTCCTTCCTTATCACTCATCTAATTTGTTGTCAAAACTTGCTATTAAAACTGTTTTCCCACTGTCGCTTCTACTTTCTTTCTACTTTCTATTTCCACGGCCAACACCATAGAGGAGGCCTTTTTATTTCTTGTCTACACTGCTTGTGTAGACTGCCTGTTAACTTACTTCACTTCCAACATTCCAGTCACTTCCTCCTCCAAACCATTTGTCACACTGTTGGCAGATTCCTCTTCCTATAAATGTAGCTCTGATCCTGACATTCACCTGCTCAAAACCTTTAATGACTTCCTATCTTCTATCATAGTGAATGTAAACATAAGAAATGTCCTTCCTTTCACTGCACTTTCTCTCTTGATTCTATTTCCAATACCCTTTAGTCCAGCCAGACTGAGTTGTGTAACATCCCCTTAGGATGCACCATCTAGTCCTACCTTTCACATGGTGTTCTTCCTATTACATGTCACTCCGTCTGCCTGGATTGACTTCATATACACTCCTGCATCCTACACAACCTTAAGGCCCTGTTTTATGATTCCTACCCCTCCAAAACTGAAACCCCAATTCTGGAGGCCAGCTCTACCTCTTTCATAGCACTTAGAGCAATTTTCTGTTGTATATATACATGCTGTAGCTGCCTCATTAGATTGTAAACTTAATTTCATGAGTATTGCACCAAGCAATATTTAACACTCAGTAATGACTTGATGACATTGAATTGAAGTGGGCTGAAAGTAAGTCTTTAAAATTATTCAGTTATGGCATTAGCCTGGTGTTAGGACAATTAGGAAGCTATCTGGGGAAAAAAATTAAGTGTCATGTGTACCTAACTTCTTAAGCCAAAAACAAATTCCAGATTAATGGGCACCTGGGTGGCTCAGTTGGTTAAGTTTCTGACTTTTTTGGCTCAGGTCACAATCCTGGAGTCCAGGGATGGAGCCCTGCATTGGGCTCCCTACTCAGCAGGTAGTCCACTTCTCCCTCTGCCCCTCACCCCGCTTGTGCTCTCTCTCTCTCTCTCTCAAATAAATAATAAAATCTTTTTTAAAAATTCCAGATTAAATAAATATTTAAATATAAAAATACTAGAGTACTGTGAATTGTGTAAGACTGATGAATCACAGACCTGTACCTTTGAAACAAATAATACATTATGTGTTAAAAGAAAAAAAAAAGAAGATAGTAGGAAGGGAAAAATGAAGGGGGGGAAATCAGAGGGGGAGACAAACCATGAGAGACTATGAACTCTGAGAAACAAACTGAGGGTTCTAGAGGGGAGGGGGGTTCGGGGACGGATTAGCCTGGTGATGGGTATTAAAGAGGGCACGTACTGCATGGAGCACTGGGTGTTATACACAAACAATGAATCATGGAACACTGCATCAAAAACTAATGATGTATGGTGATTAACATAACATAATAAACTAAAATTTAAAAAAAATACTAGAAAAATAATGAGAGAAATCATTCATAATACTTGAGTATGGAAGGTCAATTTAAATATGACACAAAACCCCAGAAAAGGTTGTTGAATTTTGACTACATAAAAAAACTTCCTAGCCAAACAAAACAAAACACTATATACAAAAGGCAAAATACAAAAGACAACAGAATATATATACATGCATGTTAGCATATACACCAAATATCATTTAAAGATTATACACTAGAGTCTACAGAGGTAGAAGAATGAAGGACAAAGTTGGGGAAAAGGCTTCATTTTTTCTGTATACTCTATCTTTAGAATTTTGAATCTATGCACATTTTACTTCCCCAAAGTACATATAATTAAAACATGTAATTAACGATCATTCACAATGATTTATTTGTTGTATTAGTAACTATTTCTTGATTCTTAAAAATTTAAATATAAAAGATGACAAAAGGATTGCCATCTAAGGAGAATGTAGCCCTATTGAAGAGAATATGCATACGTAGTTGTTAAGAGCTCCGGAGTCCATCTGCCTGGGTTTAAATCCCATTTCTACAACCCACAAGGTATGTCACTCTGTACAAGCCACTTAACCTCTCTCAGTTTCAGTATCTGTGTTGATAAAATAGAAATCATATTTATAATATAATGCCTACTTCATAAGATTGTTACCAGGATTCAATGAAATAATGTGCTGAGCACATTGCCTGATTAATGGAAAGTGTTAAGTAATGCTTATAAGCATCAAGTGAAAATTGGAACTTGTAAAAATAAGTACTTCATTTCATAAAATTCTAAGATTGACCATTATTGGTAGATTTGGCTCATGGGGAGCAAGCTTTGTTGTTCAGGCTATAGAAAGTTTTCTTTAGTAAATGACCTATTGTAACTAACCGCAGTTTAATTCTGTAATGCTCCCCAAAGAAGAAAGCATCTGGTTGTCTAATTTAGGTGGAAATTCCATCAAAATTAATTCCGCCATTCCAAGATGAAATGCTAATGGAACTGGACTGCATGCCTTGTGAGAAGGTGTACTTCCTATTAGTACAAGAGTTCATGCAGAATGTGTTCCGACAGAGCCTGTTGTCACAGTGGTTCTCTTTGCTGAAGACCATCAAGTGTTGCTTTGTTGAATTTAAGGTAACAAGTCATTACTTTGTGTTAAATTTTATATTTATACACACATACACATATATAAAATCTCATAAGCACAAGGTTGATAGACACTTAAATTGAGGAAATTGGACATTCGCTCATATCCAATTTTTTTAAGTAGGGCACCACTCTGGGTGTGGAACCTAATGTGGGGCTTTTGAATTCACTACCCTGAGATCAAGACCTGAGCTGAAATCAAGAGTCAGACACTTAACCGACTGAGCCACCCAGGTGCCTTGTATCATATCCAACTTGAGAAGTATAGTACTTGTATTTTCGGCTTTTACTGACTTGCATTGGACCTGAAATGCATAATCATACTTTTAGAGAAAAGGCTTGCTTTTTGCCACAATCTCAATCAGAATTTTATTAGATAAGATGCTCTTTGAGAGGAAATGACCAACAGCGATTTAGTAGCCTACATTGGCCCTGCATTCAGTCTGGTATCTCTTAGGTTTGTTAAATTTTAACCAGTTATTCTCTTCCACATTTGGGCCATTTTTTTCTCTGATAAATTATAAATGATTAATGAATTCCAGGAAAGAAGAATATTTG